AGGGTGGAGGATTGATAGAGGAGAGGAATACCCACAACCTGGTGGATTGACAGGGTGACTGCTGCAATGGTCTCTTTTGTGAAAGGAAGTGTGAAGATGGTGCAGGATAGAGCAGGGTTCAGACCTTTTATTCATAGGGTCACTATGAGTCATACTTGACTTGGAGACACCTAACACAACAACAATGTATTAAGAGAATGTTGTTATTGTTGTTGTTAATTGCCTTCAAATCGAGCACGACTTACAGTGACCCTGTGAACAAAAGGCTTGGAGCTCCTCTACAACTATCGGCTTTTATCAAATATTACCAAAGGATAAATACTTCATAGCACCACTCTTATAAAGTGGTCTGATGTGAAGAGTTGAGAGGAAAATAGGATAAGAGTAGATAGATAATAAACATTGTATTGAAACATATGAACGAAAGAAGTCTTTAAAAGGAATATATGATTAAGCATTATACATACAACAACAGCCCAGAATAAGAGGTACACTGCAAAGAGGACTGAGGGTGGAGGTGGAGGAGAAGAGAATACCAGAGGAATGTCTCTGTGTTTCAACTGACTATGCAAAGGCATGTGTGGATCACAACAAAACTGTGGCTGACCTTGAGAAGAATGGGAATCCCAGAACACTTGATTGTACTTATGTGAAACCCATACTTTAACCAGGAGACAGTTGTCAGAACAGAGTAAGGAAACACTGCATGGTTCAAAACCAGGAAAGGTGTACACCAGAGATGTGTCCTCTCTCCGTACCTCTTCAATCTGTATGCGCAACAGATCATCCACGAGGCTGGGCTCTATGAGGAGGAATGTGTCATCATGATTGGAGGAAGATTCATCATTAACCTGCCTTATGCACATGATACAATCTTGTTTGCTGAAACGGAGGAGGACCTGAGGCATTTGCTGCAGAAGGTCAAGGACTGCAGCCTTCAGTATCAAGAACACGAAGATTCTCAGCCCTCTTCATCCAGCCTGGTCCTGGCCCTATGGCCCCTGCCAGGAAGGGTAGAAAGTCTGCTCTGCCATCAGTGATGTGACCAGAGAGCACATCATTGATATTCACAAGTGCATCCATGGAGTGAGATTTAAGAAGTGTGCCATTGGGCACTCAAGGAGATCTGACAATTTGCTATGAAGGAGATTGGGAACACCAGATGCTCACATTAACAACATGCTTAAAATAACCATCGGAGCCAAAGGAATAAGGAATGCCCCATACCGCCTTTGTGTACGGTTGTCCAGAAAAACATAAGGATGAAGATTCCCCAAATAAGCTGTGTACACTGATTACCTGTGTACCTGTCACCACTTTCAAAAATCTACAGACCATCAATGTGGATGAAAAATAATAGCTGATTATCAAATAAAGTTATAAAACTAAAAAAAAAAAAGACGAGAAAACAAAGATTCTTACCACTAGGCCAACTGGCAGCATCATGGTAGATGGAGAAGCGATTGAGATTATTAACAGCTTCAACTAGGTTGGCTCCACAAACGGTACTCTTAGTACTGGCAGCCAGGAAATCAAAAGATAAATTGCATTGGGAAAATCTGTTGTCAGAGACCTCGCCAGAGTACTGAAGAGCAATATTGTCAGTCTAGAGATTAAGGTGTGTCTGATACAGGCCATGGTCTTCACAATTGCGAAGCATCAGAGAGCTGGACAATGACTAAGGATATTAGAAGAAGAATCAATGCCTTTGAGTTGTGGTGCTAGAGAAGAGTACTGAATATACATGGACTGCTAAGAGAACAAACAGGTCTGTCCTTGAGAGTGTGAAACCAGGCTACTCCTTGGAGATAAGGGTTTTGAAGCTCTGTCTCACATACTTTAGGCATGTGGCAAGAAGGGAGCAGTCCTTGGAGAAGGACATTATGCTTGGAAATTTGGAGGAACAGTGCAAGAGAGGAAGACTGAATGAAATGGATTGACTCAGTAGTGAGGATATTGAGGTTAGGTGTGTCCGAGACAATGAAATTGTCTCAAGATAGAGCAAGATTCAGAGCTGTTGTTATGAGTCACAAGCAACTCAATGGCACATAACAGTGCTATTCTGTTTGCTGTGTCTTTGGTTGGAAAAGTCAGTAGTTGTAGCCAAACACCCTCTAGCCAAGGTGACGTCATAGTTCATGCAAAGTAGTAGGGCTGTACATCACTTTCTTCTCTGAGTCTTTATTTCTTCCTCTTTTGTTTCAGGTGTGTAGAGATTGGTAATTGTATCTTAGATGGCCCCTCGTAAACTCTAAAGACCCCAAACACTACTCATCAAACGTGTTGTTGTTGTTGTTGTTAATATTACATTAATGAGTTATGTCAGTTGATTTAGCCTACACCCCAAGGCTAGATTGTCTCTGTTTTTAGTCAACATTGAGGTATATATTTTTTCTATGTAATAAGTGCACTCACATACATAACTCAATGAGTGTTGATTATGTAACCACCTCCTAATCACTATATAGAATGTTTCCCTCATCCTAGATGGCATCTTCTTGCATCTTTCCATCAATTCCCTCCTCTTCACCCTAACTCCAGGCCCTGGGTCATCAGTGATATGTTGTCTATCAATATATGTGATAAATTATCATTGTTGCTCTTATTTTGAGGTGCTGTTGAGTCAAGTATAACTCACGGTGAACCTGTGAACGGCAGATCTGCATCCTGCCCTATCCTGTGCCGTCCTTGTCATCTCTGACATACTTGAGCCCGTTGTTGTAGCCAATGTGTCAGCCTGTCTTGTAGAGAGTCTTCTCCTTCACTGATCCTCTACCTTTCCAAGCATGATGTCCTTTCCAAAGAATAGCCCCTCCTGCCAACAAGCCCCAAGTATGTGAGACAAAATGTTTCCATCTTTCTCTCCAAGAAGTAACTGTGGCTACACTTTCTCCAAGATGTATCTGTTTGTTCTTTTTGATATTCATGGTATGCTTAGTACTGTTTTCCAACACAATTCAAAGGCCTTAATTCTTCAGTCCTCTGTATTCTGCAGTCCTCTGTATTCACTGTCCAGCTCTCAGATGCATAGTTAGTGATTGTAAAGTCCATGGCCAAAATCAGGCACACCTTCCTCTTTAAACTGACATCATAAATGTTTTAGAATTTTATTTTATGTGTCCTTTTATGTATCCTTTGCAACTTGAATTCTTTTCCCTGGTATATCTTTAAGAGCCAGACTTCTTTTTTGCCTAAATCAGTAAGTTCCTTCTTTTGTTTCTTTATAAATGAAATGCAATTTTATGGAAATACTACAGTCTAACTAATCATTCAGTTGGTAACACACATTTAATTTAGGACAGTCTGTATTGTTAATAATGCTATAGTGCTACTTGTACAACTTTTTAAACCATGACACTATAAAAAAAAAAAAAGAGGTACTTTATTTTCAAAACTAGACGGAAGGTTTGTGGACTTCACTTACTGTTTTAAGGCAAATAAATTTCCTAAAGGAAATCCAAGTCTTGTTTTGGGATCAAATTAGCAGGATGAGGCAATGGTGTAAGATATAATTTTGAGAGCATCTTGGAAAGCACCTGACCACCCTCCTCCCGCAGCAACTGCAGTGTATAAAGATCTTATTGCTCACAGCCTTCTCCTCCTAACACCATCGTGTCTTCCGGCTCCTGACAAGTCTAGGAAGCCTGCCAAGTCAGTCCCTGTCCCCTGCCATGACAGAGGAGGATCATCCGAGTAAATAACGACAGACATCATAATGTTGAGTGCCAAATCCTCTAAATAGCTCCAGGAGGTGGTCATGGGGTCAGGCTATCCCACAGACCACTTGAACATCTTCCCAGTGGCCTCTGGGGTATTCTGTGCCATCTCAGCTATAAGGGAGTTGGAAGGTTATGGCTCAGAAGGATTCTGTGTAGAGTTCAAAGCTTCAAACCAGTTTTCCCAGTTCTGTCATAGCTGATGAAGTGAAACTGCACCAGACCTGAATTTGTACACTCTACTAATAACCAGAACAGGAAAAATTACCAATAGATTCCCTACCAGATTCCTCCCTAGAAGATAAGAAGAGCATAGGGACCAGATTCTTGACCAACAGAGTCAGAACCTTGGCTTGGGTGAAACGTGGTGATCAGTCCCTTGGAAGATGCATTGCTCTTTGCAGTCGTGGTAATAATCATATCTCCCACATCAGATTCCTGAAAGGGTTTACCGTGCCTCCCTCGAATCTCCTGTAATACAGTATGAAGTTATGTAAGGTATAATCTAACGTGGACTTCTAGTTTATACACATTGAGATCAGAAAGTTGAGGTGTGATCTTCAACAATTAAAAGTTCCAGAAAACAGGCTTATTTATAACTTTGAATTCACCAGCTGTTGAGCAGAAAAAGGCTGGGCAATTTCCTCCTGTGCGACATACAGCCTCAGAAAACCTGCAGAGGGGCAGTGGGGAGTTGATTCCAACTTGACACCAATGACTTTTTTTCTTTTACTTTGAGTAGTAGAGGATAATCATACTTTATTTAAATTATCTTGAGTGCAGTTGTTTTGTACAGCTGAGGTTTTTTTTGTTTTTGTTATTTTTTAGGTAGAACCAATTGGCCGTAAACATTGTTCCCTCATCTTTTCACAGTCTCTCTTCTGTGCCCAGAGTTATTCAGTACTTGTACTAAAATTCTGAGCATTTAAAAATTCCCAGAGTGGTTTTTTACCCCCAGAAAATTTTAACTCGGGGTTTAGAATTACCACCACCTGTGAATGAGGTTTACATGTTAGTTACTTTGCTGCTATAGAGGTTTCAACAGTTTCCAAACTAAGAGGTTAGAAAGAAAGGTCAGGTGATCTGCCTTGAAAAATCAGTCACCAACAACCCTGGCTCACAAAGGTCCAGTTTGCAGCCAGTTGGGGAGAGGGCACAGGACCAGGAAATGTTTCATCCCGTTCTCCATGAAGCCTCAGTGAGTTAGGAAAAGACTCAGCAGCAGCAAGCCACGGTGGCATTGCTTTTGTTAAGAAAATCATGGTTGTGTTTCTTTCCCTTCAGTTCACAGATATTGGGACCTTCGAGACGGTGTGGCAAGTCAAGTTCTACAACTACCACAAACGTGATCACTGCCAGTGGGGGAGCCCCTTCTCTGTCATTGAGTATGAATGCAAGCCCAATGAGACACGCAGCCTCATGTGGGTGAACAAGGAGTCCTTCCTATGAAGCTCTGAGGACCCGGGGCCTCTCTCGTGTTGCTGGACAGTCTCTCCGCAAATCAGTCCACTCTTAGGTAAACCAGCACAAGCCTTATTTGAGGCACACCACACCTTGGTTGTTTTGCTCCTGGTACTGATGACCTACTAGCCCCAATTATTTTGAAAGTGTAATTCCCCTCTGGTGCAATACCCCTGATATAAAAGATCGTGATGCATCTGAGAAGATCCCTTTCTATATTTTGTGGTGGTAACCCTGCACCCGGTTGTCCTCGCTCACGCTGTTGATCTTGTGTGACTGGCACTCAGTCTAAGTGCCAGATATGCCGTACACTTGGTGATTCCGTGGACTGACTGTGAAACTTTGTTTCCAAGTTGAATAGTCCCCCTTTAATGTTAACTGTTAAATAAGTAAGTAAATAATAATTAAAATGTGTACGGGTTCTCCCATGTGTAATGTGTAACTTGCACTGTTTTCCAACATTCAAGGCAGTCTTTGTGACAGTATCATGCAAACAGCAGTGACTGAGACTTAAGGGTTGACTTCCTAAAAACAGCTCTGTTCATTCAGGGAGGGGTGATGACAGAATGTGAGGACTTAAGTATTTCTAACTTATACAAACTCTTTCAGGTAACTCAAATTATTCCTGTTATGTCCTAGGGAAATGGGAAAAACCATTGTTGTAGATCACTATTACAAAGGCTTGCCTCTGTGGTAAGCTGCTCTGGTGTTCAAGCAGGAGTACTGGTGGCCTATCTTGTATCCTCCTCCTTTGGACTTTGTAAAACAGTGTATGGATGTGGAATCAACTTTTGATATTTCTTAATAAAGGCACTGAAAATCACGCCCTAACTTGCATCGTAGTTTGGGAAGCAAATAATCAGCAGGTGGACTTCTGTTCGAGTCAGTGGTACTCACAGTTCTTTATCTGCACAGCAAAGTGTGGGGATGAATTTGGGGTAAAATTAGTACACCTGTTTATCAGGCCTATAACACATCTGAAAGCCTGTGATTCTGCCCTGTCTTGAGCATTCCTAAGATGCTGGAAGCTCAGCCATGGATATCTAAAATACCCAGAGATTCAAGGGAAGCTTCCAAGCTACAAAGCTAGGAAGAAATGCCTGGCGGTCTACTTCTGAAAGTTAGCCAATGAAAACCTTATGGATCAGAACAGACCTTGATACACAGAGCTGAAAAGTGAACCCCTGTAAGTTGGAAGGCACTCAAAATATACTGTAGTGACAAAAATGGATTCTAGTGTACCAATGATTGTGGCGATATCACAAGGCCAAGCCCCATTGCATTCTGTTATACACATAAGGTCACCATGAGTCAGAGCTGACTAAATGGCAACTAAAAACAACATTCATAGATCACCACTGGTTGTTAACACAGTGCAGTGTTCCAGCAGGGATCAGCAGGGCTTGCCCAGGCTTCTGGCCGGCAATAAAAAAAGTGTTTGTTCCACTCTTCTCTCCGTTCCACCTTCCATGGTGACTGCTCTCCCTTCACCCAGCTCAGTAGCTCAGCAATAGGAGGACATGGAGCTGTAACAGTGTATGTATCAGGGTTGAAACCACCTTGCATGCTCCAAGAACGGAAGGTACCTGGCACAAAGTCAGCGTGCTGTATGAGAACGAATTCCCGAAGAAGAAAATAGATTTCCTTTTGAAAAGGTACTTCATACTTTGCAACACTATTTTGATATTCATTTGAACAGCATGGATTCTCTTATGGTGGGAAAAAATAGTAAGAAATTGGAGATTTATTCTTTTGCTGCTTGAAAGCCTTTTATGTAAGAATATGCAGGACTGTTGGGAGTGTTCTAAAGAGCTTCTTGTACACTGGGTTTGGAAGGTAGACAACCATTGACTCCTCTAGCTTACCTACAATAAGTCTTTCTGCTACCAGGAAACAGCAACATTTTGGATTGGGGGTAACTCTTCCCAAAATCCACATCTACTGCTGGACAATCAATTCAGAATCATAAGTACCCTCAATAACGTTGCTCAGGCTGTAAATCTCTTAGAAGAAGAAGCCTGCTTCATTTTTTTTCTAAGGAGTGGCAAGTGGATAAGAACCATCAACCTTTTGGTTAGCAATACAACATGCAAAGCACTGGTGTCAGGGCTCATTTGACTTAATTATAAATGGGCTAAAAGAAAACATTCTTTTCAATGCCCACATTTTCCATGCATAACAGTCTCTCAGATAGCTGCTAAATGACATTGTTGTGAGGTGTCATCTAGTTGACGACAACTCATAGCAACCCTCTAAACAGCAGACCTGAGCCACGCTCTATCCTGCACCATCGTCACAATCTCTTTACAACTGTCTGCTTGAGCCTACTGTAACAGTCACTGTGTCAGTCCATCTGTTTTTTATTGTAATGGAATTTTATAGAAAAGTTAGAATTTCATTCATTCATTGTTGGACATCTTACCTCCTCTTCCATCATTCTCCCTCCCCGTTTGCAGGGCTTTTGTTGGGTTTTTTTTTAATATTCATTCATTGTTGCACAATTCTTCCCCCTAAGTTCCTTTTGCTATACACCTCTTACTCTGAACTGTTGTACATATAATGCCTAGTGATATGTTCCTTTTAAATAGTTCTTTCCTTCATCTGTTCCAGTGTAGTATTTATTATTTATCCCCTCTTTTCTTAGTTTCTTATTAATCCATCTTGTTGAGAGTCTTCCTCTCTTTCTCTGACCCTCCACTTTTCCCAGCATGATGTCTTTTTCCAAAGACTGGCCCCTCCTGACGGCATGCCCCGAGTATGTGACTTAAAGTTTTACCATGCTTGCCTCTAAGGAGCGCACTGCTTGGATGTCCTCTAAGACAAGACCGGTTTGTTCTTTTGGCAGTCCACAGGCTATTCAGCACTCTTCTCCAACAATAACTTCAAGATATGATGTTCTTCTATCATCCTTATTCATTGTCCAACTTTCAGATGCATAAGAAGTAATTGAAAAGAACACGGCTTGGATCAAGTGCACCTTAGTCTTTAAAGAGACATACTTGCTCCTTGGCACTTTGGAGAGGTGCTTGAAGAAGATTTTTCCAATGCAACACATCTATTGATTTTTTTCCATTTTTTTATTATTATTAATGTCAATGAACATTTATTTACAGAGATTTTGGATTTCCAGTCACTCATTGCTGCACTTTTCTCCCCACCCACTCCCCTCCACCCCCAGTTCGCTCTTCGAAAAGTAAAAGAAAAATTCCTTCATTGGTATACAATCCCCCTGCACCCCACCACCACCACCCAAAGTATACTCCACTCTGCAACCTTCATTCTGGACTCTTATGATAATCATAATGCCCTATAATATATTGCTTTTAAACAGTTCTCTCCCTCATCCGTTTCAATGCAGTATACATAATTCATCCAGTTTTTCTCATTCTTACCCCAACCCTGATGTCAGTCCCATTCTACAACAGTGGCACTATGCAATGTTTGTCCTTTCGTGACTGAGATATTTCACTCAGCAAAATGTCATCCAGGGTCACCCATTTTGAATAATATTGCATGAGTTTCTTCTTTTTAAGTGCAGCGTAGTATTCCATTGTGTGAATATACCACAGCTTCTCTAGCCATTCATTTGTTGATGGGCACTTAGGTTGTTTCCAACTCCTTGCTATTGTGAACAAAGCCACGCTAAACATGGGTGTGCATATATTTGCTTGGATGGTGGTTATAGTCTCTTTAGGGTATATTCCTAGTAGTGGAATTACTGGGTCAAATGGTATCCCTATCTGCAATTTTTTGAGAAAGCGCCACACCGCTTTCCACAGTGGTTGCACCATTTTACACTTCCACCAACATCTATTCGTTTCTTAACTGCTATTACCATGGGGGTTGATTGTGGATGCAAGTAAGATTAAATTGTTGACATCTTCAATCTTTTCTCCATTTATCACAACGTTGCCTGTTGGTCGTGTTGTGAGGATTGTTATTTTCTTGATGTTAAGATGTAATCCATATTAAAGGCTTTGCTCTTCTCCAGTGTTTCAAGTGCTCTTCACCTTCAGCAAGCAAGATTATGTCATCTACTTAACGAAAGTTGTTGATGAGTCTTCCTCTATTCCCAATGCCACACCCTTCGTCACATCATCCTGCTTCTTGAATGATTTTCTTAGTATACAGATTGAATAGCTATGGAGAAGGATTTTAAATCTTCATCGTTCCTTTGTTCTGGTTGGACAACAGCTCCCTGGTCTAAGTATTGGTTTCACATCTCATTTATATCTGAAAACTCAATGAAGAATCCTCTACAAGTCAGTTTCTGCTAAATAAAAACATTGGTATATTCCTAGTTATTTTAAAGCTAAATTATTTCCTTGAATATGGAGATCTTAAGAACAGTAAATTAACTACAAGCAGAGTCCTACGTTTTCTTTCAGAATATCCAGTGTAACTATAGAGTGACCAGAATGTGGGAAAATGGGGAAACTAGATCAGTATTTTGGTCTATTTAAATATTTTGTTTGTACATGTTTTCATTTGTGAAACTAGAGGTTTTGAGCCAGTGACTCATCCCTTAGAGCGTTTGTATTTGTTTTGAAGGGTGGAAGCAATTATCCCATGGCTTTTGTAATATTTCTTCCTAGGTTTGGGCTTTGTTTTCAATGAGAGGCTTCATTTTCAACTTTAAAATTACTTAAAGCAGGGCTGGAGTGAAGACTTGAGCTCTGGACATCAAATCAAGGTGTCTGAAGCCCACTAATGCCCTGGTGGTCCCTTCAACTGCCTATTTTCCAGTTTTTTCAATCTCTAAAAGAAGACATTAAAAAGTGGTTGCCTCAATGAATGAATGGAAATCCAAAGTCTCTGTAAATTTTCATTGAAATTAATAATAAAAAAAATTTTTTTAAAAAGTGGTTGCCGTGGAGACACCTCTGATTCTTGGTGAACTCCTGTATGCCAGAGAAGAACTGCTGTCTGCACGGTTTTCAGTGGCTGGGTGTTTTGTTGAAGCATATAACCATGTCTTTTATCTGAAA